GGGGGGGCGTTGGACCTGGGCCGCGTGGGTTTCAGAGGGATCTTTAGCAATTGGGCTTCCTTGAGAAAAGCCCAATACAAATACAGCCCCTTTTCTTTCTTTTCCTTTAATTTAAAGTTCTATTAATTAAATCCTAATTTAAATCTAATTTATAGAAATAAACTTAGTTATCTATTTTACCTTTTAAATAATTAATTAATTTAAACTAATGAAAGCAAAATTACTAATTTGTAATTAAAAGCTAAAACGTAAAAATGACCCATATCTTTTGTGATTTTTCGTTTAATAATGCAATTAACTCATGCAATTAAATCCTAATATGCAATTAAATCTAAGATGCTATGCAATGAATATTTTATATATTTTTTATATTTTTCATAATTTTAAATATTAGATAAGCAACTAAATGCAAACAAAATAAACCAAAAAATCCTAAAATTCTATAAAAACGAAAAATAATTTATAAAGATCTATTTTTTACTTTTGGAGAAGTAATTTTAGTCCGGCAAAAATCACATGCTCACATGAATTGGCAACCGAAAAAATAGATAATTATCTTGCTATAAGTGGCGGCTAACTGCATAGAAATATAATTTTGTTTTACGTTTATATAACTTAAATTCTTATTCGTGAGTTCCATTGAACTATTGAGAGCGTGGCTAATATTCATTAACAAGCTGCCTAAATAATGAACCTTCCTTATTCATGAGTTTCATTGGCTCATCATACTCTACCAGCTCCCTGTACAAAAAAATGTAATCGAACATTTCAATATTATTGTAACTTCACATAAATCATATTTAACATTCTTTAATGAAGAGTGTATTAATGTGACTAGAAGTCATTTTGCATTTTAAAAAAAGAAGATATTTTTCAATATTAGGTTGGTGAGTGAAATATATTTTTCAGAAAAAATATATATTAATAATAATAATAATAATAATAGCAAATTAGAGAATTGTTTGATGAAATTTTTGAGTATTAAATATTGACAATATTGTATAATTGGTGATTCGAACAGTAACACGGAGTTAAGAGTTGAGACAGTTTCGACGAAAAATACTTCTACCCAGGGGCGTATCTACAGTATTGGATATGGATTCCCGGGAATCCAGTAATTTTTACCCGAACCTTGTATTTATATTGAGAAATTTATTAAATCTACAAGTATTTTTAGATAAATAGTTATATATTTAGATAAAAATGCTGAATCTGAAAGTAAAAGGATGATAGTCATTAGGAATCTTATAGAAATATACCCAAAAAAGAAATTATTTTCCAATTAAATCAATAGCTTTCAAGTTCAAGAAAATAATTTTGTCCATACATTGGGAATCTTATAGAAATATACCCAAAAAGACATTATTTACCCACAACTAGCCATTTTAGTCATGCTACTAAAAACAACCAAAAAAAGTACCAATGATATATAACATTCAGAAAACATAGGCCAAAAATGATTTTTTTCCCCATAGGTATTGTTGCGATTCGTCGAAAACGCATAGATGAGACAATATACAAAAATTGAGGAAGTTTGATAGTAAATTAGACTAGCTTGGAGTTAGAATTTATTGTCAACAATATACAATATTAAAAAAATAGGCAAAAAAGGATTTGTTTCAAGGGTATGGCTGCAATTCGTTGAAAACATATAGATGAGACGATATACAAGATTTAAGCAAGATTGGAGGTGATTTGGACTGATTTGGTATCAAAATTCATAGTTAAAATCGAGTTTAAAAATTCTTCTGAGACACATGCATCTCACATACAGGTATACAAGCATATACATGTTATACACATTTGATACACATATTAAGCATGTGATATACAAATGATACACAGTGTGATACATATATCATCTTTTTCATATTCATTTTCTACTTCGAAATTTCAATTTAAACTACCTCAAAACTCCACCAAATCATCTCAAATCTGAGATTCAATTTCATATTTATTTTCTACTTCGACTTTTCAATTCAAACTTCCTCAAAATCCACAAAATCATCCTAAAAATGAGATTCAAACTTCTTAAGATGTACCCAATCTATTCCAACAACACACACTCAAAAGAAAGCAAACATTTGACCTTTTTTAGCTACAAATAGTTAATTGGCTAATATTGATAGCATTTGGCTAATATTGAAAATATTTTATGAATTAGTTGAACTTACTTATGGGGGCATAACTAGTCGTAATTTCCCAGAATTTATGGATAAGTTTAAGCAGTACTGTCTTATTCATTACCTTCCTTCTTTATTCTAGTTAAATTAGGTGGTGGCGGGAAAATTAACATAAATCATGCCTAAATTTTAAGTAAGTCAAGAATTAACCTAGATGTAATACCAAAGTTTTCTAGTCGGAGTTAAGAGCTAGATCGCCTCACCTGGTGAGCTCCATGTAACCCACAATTGAGGCATAGGTTTCAAACCACATTAATAGTATAGCAATTCCCCTTCCTTGCCCCCCTCCACCAATGTAATAAGAAAAATAAAATAAACGACAATCTTTACACAAATAACCATCAAGATTCAATGTTTATATTTCCTAATCAATATACTTAAATTATATATTAATTATATATGATCATACATATAATATACATGGATTATAAATTTTTCGGCTATTTTTTATATAAACAGTTAGGCAGCGGATATTTAGATTAATACTTTTTAAAAAGCCTCTAGTCCATTCACTTTTCTACACAAGCCTGATAGTCTTTAACAAGCTTTCCAAATAATGAGGAAAAAATAAAAAATACTAGATTTACAACTAGTAATTGAAAAACAGTCACAGTTTCAAAATAATCGAAATTTAGCCACATGTAAATATAAAATCTGAACAAAAACACCCTTAAAAATCTGGAAATATTCCAAAACATAATATGCTGAAGTTCGAAATTTTTACATATGAGCTTCCAGCATAATGTGTTGGAATTCTAATATAATATACGGGAAGTTTATACGTAGGAGCTCTATAATCCAGCATATTATGCTGGAACTTTTCGTGTGCTGTAGTTCCAACATAATATGCGGGAAGTTTATGCGCAGGAATTCCGTAATCCCGCATATTATATTGGAACTTTCCGTATTTCAGTAAAACAATGGCTATTTTTTAATAACTTTACAAACGTTAGATATTTTTTGATTACCAGTCCAAAAACTGGCTAGCCCGTGCTATTTCACCCGATAATGATCTCTTTGTTTAACTTCTTTGGCTCATCAAACCCACACAATTCCCCTGTAATGTTCAAATTATAAGCTACAACATGTTATGAAATAGATATTCCCTTTGTCCCATATTATAATTTGAGGTATAACCGTTATTGGAATAATATAAAAGCCCACCATCACTTAGTGCTAGAACTTTTGTGTAATCCACTACTGTTAGAATTATGTGGGTTACTATTATAACTGTGCAGTCTGCTAGTTATCATCGTCTCAGGCTCCAGTTTCATTCGTCTTGAAAAACTATAATTTGTTCTCATTGCTCATAGTACTAATTGTATCTTCTAATTCAAAGAATTGTAAAATTTTGGTGTGATCTCATATTGATGATCTACATTTTGATCTTTACCCGAGGAACCAAGTCCCCTTCCTTTCTTTGGACAGCTAGCCTCCCTAAGCTGACACTTATTAAGAACCTTTAAGGTGAATGACCCTTCTTTGATTATTTTTTTCTCTTTTGTCTTATCGTTTCAAAAATTCTTCTCCTTTCATAAATATTAGAGTTTAAGCTTGTACGATAATTGTTTAGACGTAGTCTAAAAGTATATAATATATAATTAGAATATGTATCCCATGGTGGTTACTAGTTCATATACTATATTTTATTCATGTTGCATGAAGTTATTTAATATGGATAAGATCTATTACATAGTTAAATTATCTGTTCTTCTTTGTTTAATCCATTTATTTTTTGTATATATTTGTCTAATATTTTATATTTTTATATAACAATCTAACATTTCATCAACAACAAAATAGTTTAAATAATGTATCTAGTAATTACATAACAAAGGATATCACACCTTCAAAAAATTATAGAATTGCTTTTAAAATCTAGTCAAATATACATGCTAATTTAATAATCAAACCCATGAAACAAAATATTTTCCCACCAATTTAGCGAAGAAATCAAATAATCATTCATTTTTATCAAGAAATCAAAAAAGAAAGAAAAATTTCATCGGCTTTCGTTTTAGGCAATAACTCCTATATTTGAGAGAGATGAACTCTCTTGTAGGATTTGAACCTACGACATCGGGTTTTGAAGACCCACGTTTTCTATATAAAGTGATGTCATGGTTTTGCCATTTCTCATTCCACTACTCTCAATACAACTAGCACAGTACTTTTTTAGCTCTTTCTCTTTCTCTTCTAAGTTCTAATTCCCCTCCCTTTTTGTCACATAATGCATGTTTGTTCTGCATGTAGATGGAAAATTTCGACGTCGTGTTGCATGTTATTGTTGATGACGATGTCAACTCAGACAGGTAAGATATCAATCCTGACGTTGAAGACATCAACCCTGGAAATGAGTACGACTCGAACTCCAAAGCTGACATTGATTGATTTGACTTCAATTCCGAAGCTGATTTTGATAACATCAATCCTAA